ACATCATCATCATCGTCATCATCATCATCATCATCACCGTCAGTGCCCTAATGCCTGCTGGGGTACCTGGCACAGCTCTAAGATCCATGAAAAAAAACAAGCTTACATTTAAAAGTGAGATTTTCTACATTAGTATGTAAAACACACACGAGCATTAGTTATATCTTTGTATTTGTATATACACGTCAAGCTTTTTGGTCTGAGTTTCCCTGATGAGGCTGAAAGGAGCAGACTTTGTACACATAGATTATTCACAAATCTTGGTGGTATTTGTGACTTGGCTGTTTTTAGATTCAACTAACAATGCTAAGTAGCTACTCTGTGCCGGGCACTATACTAAGTTCTTTCACACATATGAATTTCTTTGTCTTTTTAAATCTTCAAAACAACTCTAACATGTATTACTTATCTGTGGCTGCATAACTAATCACTCTAAAGCTTCGTGGCTTAAAATCATAACACTGATTATCTCACAGTGTCCATGGATCGGGACTCTGGGCCTGGCTTACCCGGGTTCTCTGGCTCTGGGTCTCTCAGAAGCTCAACTTGAAAAGATGCATTTCCTAAGTCACTTATGTGGTTACCGGCAGAATTCAGTTCCTTAGGGGCTGTGGGTCAGAACCTGCCGCAGGTTCCTTGCCTCATAGACCTCTCCAGAGAGCAGCTCATGATGGGGCAAGCAGCTTGATGAAGGCTGAGCAGGTGAGAAAGAGCTGTAGAAGGCTATTTTCTTCCAAAATGAGGGATCGTCTTCTCTGTCTTCCGGAACCTTGGGTTGGAGAGAGCAGAGCCTAGCAGGGGTCCTCAAACTTTTTAAACAGGGGGCCAGTTCACTGTCCCTCAGACCATTGGAGGGCCGGACTATAGTTTAAAAAAAAACTATGAACAAATTCCTATGCACACTGCACATATCTTATTTTGAAGTAAAAAAACAAAATGGGAACAAATACAATATTTGTATTTGCATGTGGCCCACGGGCCGTAGTTTGAGGACCCCTGGTAGGGCATGTGAGGGATTTGCAGTGGTTTGTGGCCGGAGGATTTCCCATGAAAGCCCTCGGTAGTTACAGGGCTGGTTGTTTTGTAGCACAGGTGCGTGGTGAAGGGCAAGGTGCCGGGTGGGAGGTGCTAGGGACAAGTATGGCTTTGGCTACCAAAACATCTGGTGATCAGAGGTGCTATTCAGCCACAAGCCTTGCACGTGGCTGGAAATAGTGGGGATCATGGTGGGTGCATCTCTGAAGCGTAGGGACCCATTTTAACTCTGAAGCATAATCACAAGAATTCTGAGTTTGATCTGCTGTGAGGTAAGAGAGGGGCTGCTGAGATGCTGCAGTGATTCTCCCCTCCTTGGTGTATCCCTGTCCCTGATATTTTCTCTAAGTCAGATCCACAAGTGCATATGGACTCAGATTCAGAGCCCAGCAGGCAGCGAGACTTAATCCGTACTAAGGAGTGAATGCTTAGGGAAAAAATCCAACACTCGGTAGAAGTGAAAATGAAGCAGTTGGCACCTCCAAAGGGGATTTTAACTGTGAGTGAGAGAGCTCAGCATGGTCACAGGGGCGGGAGGAGGTTTGCAGAGCTGAGAAGAACTGGGCCAGGTGAGGCACCTGTCACTGGCTGAATAAACAGCAGCCCTGGAGGCCCTCCTGCTCCAAAAGCCTGGCCGCCTGGGGGATAGATCAGGCCAGCCTCAGCGCACAACGGATCGCGGTTGGGTGGGGTCAGCTGAAACAGGAAGCTTCGACAGAGTCGTTTTTATGCCAAGGAGTTCCAACAACGGCTTTGATGCCAGTGCTTGATAATTATTGACTTCTCATGGTTAATCTCTCTTTGAGAAACATAATTTCCTGAGCTTTTAATGAGACTCGATGAAAACTAAAGGATCCAGTGAACATGCAGACTGCATTTCCCCCCAAAATGAAAAGACGTACTTTCTTCCCTTGGTAAGAAATTCAAAGAGAAAGCCAAGTTTCCCCAAAACCCAAAGAGAAAAAAAATAAATAAATGCAATGTAAAAAAAATCACTATCAACAGTTTGGTGTGAGTGTATCCTCCCAGCCTTTTAATGTGTATACTGTATACAAACCTACATTTTCACTTGAGTGTGACTGTGATGTGACACTGTCCTATAACCACCTCGTTTCACTCCTGTACAGGTCATAGATCTCCATGGTTGTCAATACATTGATGTGTCTGACCTTATCAAGGGCTTCATCGCAGTTCATGGTATACATGTGGTTTCATTAACCAGTTCCCTATGAGGGACTTTTAGGCTGTTTCCAACTTTTGGTTATTACAAAGAATGCTGGTAACTTTTTGCCCATAAGTCTTTGCACACTTGTCCAATAATCTCTGAAGGATTAATTCTTAGATGTGGACTGGCTAGACTAGAAGATAGATACCTTCTTAATTTTGATAAAATTTGACAAAATGCCATGAATGAATTTTACTAACTTGCTCTGCTTTCATTAGTATGATAGATTGCTCTTTCTTTCTAATTATTACCAACTCTGGCATTACCAATCTTTGCTAATCTGATGGTGAAAGGAATGTAGGTTATTTTATTTCGCATTTCTTAGATCAGTAGTGATTTGGGGTCTACTGTCATATACTTACTAGCCACATGTATTTTTTTGTGAAAATTCAATATTTTTTGATGAGGTATCCATCTTTTTCTTATTGAATTATTAGAGCTCTTTGTATATCAAGAATACTAACACTTTGTCACATGCAATTAAATCTTTTTGGTAACAGCAGAAAATGTCAAATAGGTTTCCTTACAAACACTGTGGGATCCCCCGATGCCCCTCCCCCCAAAAAACCCCCACAAAAGTTTTGGTTATTGACACTTTACTAGGTTTCCTAGGGGGTGCCATAACGAAGTATCACAACCCAGGTGGCTTAGAGCAATACCCATGTGTTCTCTCACGTTCTGGGGTTAGAAGTCTGAAAACAAGGCATTGGCAGGGCTTTGTTCCCATGGAAGCTTCTGGTGAAAATCTTTCCTTTCTGCTCCCGCTTCTGGGAGCCCCAGGTGTTCCCTGTAGACTTGTAGACACAGCTCTGTCACCTGGCTTTCTCCCTCATCTTTTGTTAAGTATAGCAGTCATATTGGATTAGGGTCCACCATGCTGACTTCATCTTAACTTAATTACAGGCGCACCTCAGATGTTGTGGGTTCAGTTCCAGACCACGGCTATAAATTGAGTTTCCCAATAAAGCAGGTTCAGTTGGTTGGGACATCCTCTTGTAAACCAGGTTTCAGTTTCGATCTCTGCTTGGTGTGTGTGTGGGAGGCGGCAACTAATTGATATCTCTCTCTCATACTGATATTTCTCCGTCTCTGTCTCTCTCTCCCTCCCTCCCTCCCTCCTCTCCTTTCTAAAAAAAAATTAATAAAAACATCTTTGGGTGAGGTTTAAAAAATTGCAACATCTGTGAGGCACAATAAAATGAGGTATATCTGTACTGCTGCAAAACCTGTTTCCAAATAAGATCACATTCACAGACATGGGTTAGCATTTCAGCATATATTGGGGGGACACAATTCAACCCACAGCAGTCCCCATTATTAAGTGTCTGCTATCACCAGCAAACTGTGTTCTTTAACGACTGGGACTAGATGAGCCGTTTTCCATATTCTGACCTGAAGCACTTTAACCAGTGTCTGGTAGGTAGTGGCCCCTCCAAAAAGATTTCCTGAAAGAATTTGAGTTTCAGGACTATGTGCCCATTCAGACATTAAAAGATGTATACAAGAGAACACAAGAGATCAGATTTTCTTTCACTTAAATCTACATTTAACAATTTGTAATTAATATGCAAATGCAAGTGGCGATAACTGGACCGTCCAGAAGAGGGAACGGCTCAGCTTTCTGAATGGGGCTTGGGCCAGGCACGTGCCTAAGAATATGCAGACACACTCCCAGACTAGAACCGAACTTATGACCCAGAATTGTTAGGTTGGATTAAGTAGAAAATAAGACAGCAGAGCCTGTAACAATCTAAATGTATTTTATTTCTTATTCATATTGTAAAATACAATTGACATTTATTTCATAGTCACATAGAGCCAAGCTTATCAAATAAAGGTCAGAATTTGCTTCAGAGACTTACTTTCTAAGTTATTTTTTGTACTTGCTTCAAAAGATAATTTCCAGTGACATAGGACTAACAGCCTCCAAACTATGCTGCAGAATTCCCGTATTTAAGCTTTTAAAAAATAACTTACCTCCTGTGAAAGACATATCTGACAAAACATCTATCCTTCATTTCCACAGAGGAATATTTCATTACCGGGCATGGTCTTTGTAATGAAACGTATATTCCTCTGTGAGGGATAGAACATGACTGTAAAAGATGAGTTGTCAAGAAAGAGTGTTTTATCGATACCTTATGAGTCCGGGGAAAGGCTCAATGGGCAAAGAAGCAGTTCCATCTACACCAGGGGTCCTCAAACTACGGCCCGCGGGCCACATGCAAATACAAATATTGTATTTGTTCCCGTTTTGTTTTTTTACTTCAAAATAAGATATGTGCAGTGTGCATAGGAATTTGTTCATAGTATTTTTTTAAACTATAGTCCGGCCCTCCAATGGTCTGAGGGACAGTGAACTGGCCCCCTGTTTAAAAAGTTTGAGGACCCCTGATCTACACCTTCAAAGGCGTGCAGGGCTTTTTTGAACCCTGTATGTTAGAACCACCCAGAGTACTTAGGAAAATACTGACGTCTGGGCCTCATCCCAAACGAATTAACTTATAGCCTGAGATTGGTGCTCAGGCAGCGTATTTTACTTTATTTATTTATTTACTTATAAAATATAACTTTATTGATTTCAGAGAGGAAGGGAGAGGAAGAGAAAGATAGGAACATCAATGATGAGAGAGAATCACTGATTGGCAGCCTCCTGCATGCCCTAAAACCTAGGATCGAGCCCACAACCGGGGCATGTTCCTTAACCAGGAATCGAACCATGACCTCCTGGTTCATAGGTCAATGCTCAACCACTGAGCTACACCGGCTGGTCCAGGCTGTGTATTTTAAAAAGTGTCCCTGGTGATTCCTATTTGTACCCAGAGTTAAAAACTACAGAGCATTTGCATACACAGAAGGAAGGTTTGGGCTACACCAAACCAGGTATCTACTTAGAAATATTTAAATTTAATATATATTTATATCTAATATAAACAGACACTGTTAACAGAGTTATTCCTTTGTAAAGTATTACCTATAAGTAATTTAAAAATATTTTATAAATAACGATGTTTCTCTGAGGTTAACCAACACTTCCAATAAATAGCAAAGTAATTAAGAGATGAAAATAGTTTTTGAAAAAGACATTTCAATTGTTTTTTGAAAACCTGAAGAATGTGTTCAAAGTGTAAAAGTTCTTTAAATTGAGAGGTGGATAGGACAAGTAGTGTTCTTCCTAACTCGGGTACTTTTTAGATAGCAAATATCTTCTTCCATTAATAAAAAAGAAAGAAAGAAAAAGCTTCTCAGATCAAAATTTAAAACCAACGTATTTGGAAACTAATCCATAATTTCTAGAATGTCTCCTTTAATAATATACTTAAAAAAACAAAACTTCTTCAAGTATCTTTACAAATAAATGCCTAAAATCCAAGTAATCCTAGAGGAGAAATTCTTTCTCAACTGATTTTTGAATCTAGGGTAAAGGGGTTCTTGAAAATTTCACAACTCTGGGTAAAAAGCTGTGGGAGGGTGGCAAGAAGAAGAGAGGCAGGGAGAAAGGGAGGGAGAAAAATATGAAGGCAAAAAAAAAATGAGTCCCTTTAGTTGCTTCTTGGTTCTATGCTGGACAAGGCTATAATAGTTGTACTTAATAATTCACTCTGTGGACAGAGTGGGGACAAATGGTCTCATCTCTATTTTCCCCTATTTATAATCTTGGAACCAGCCCAGCAGAGAAGGGCCAAGGCACTAAGGTTCAGATTTTCCATTTTTGTGTTTGTGCGTCTCAGTTGTACACTGTAAAGGACCTCATTGCAAAAGACGCTGAAAAGACGAACTCGCTTTCCTTCCTTTCAGTGCACCACTGGCATCTGCAGACAACGAGGGGATGTTTGAAAATACCGTGAGGGGATGAGACAAAGACTACAATGAGCACATTATTTTCTGTAAAGAGCTTGAGGAACACAAGGATAACCAAAATGGAGAGTAAACCCAGATGAAAATAGATGTCACAAATTATTCCAAAGAATTTCCAGAGGCACTCAATAATAAGATAGTCAAAACATCAGGCACAACAAGGAACTGATTAGTCTGTTTAAACATAGAATATTCTCCAAAATCATTGAGACGAATGAGATAGAAACAAATCTGCAAATAGGCCTAGAACCGAACTATCCTTAAATAATCAGACATGCCAATATTTGTCTCCAGTGAAGAGTTCAGCTAGGGAAAGAGCTGTATTTCTGAGGTGCCAGCTTTCATAATGTCCTATGAGAATTTAAATCCAAGGTTGATGATTGACATGCTAACTTAAAGCTTTGGAACACTAACTTGTTTCTCTAGCCCAAAGCATTAGGCTGAATGTTTCTCTCCTTGCTTGATGCCAAGAACAAGATGCAGGAACCAGTTAAACTGCACGGTCCATCCTTTGTCTCTGCAAACTTCAATCTGATCAAGAAAATACTTTTTAGCATCCTCCTCATTCTTCCCCACGGTCAGGGCATCCCGAATATATTCAATATCTTCTTTGCTTGTCAACTGGGGCATTCCCGTCATCAGCATCATGGAGAACAAGATGATCAGAAGGTTCGTGTGATGACGGAGGGCCAGATAAGCCTTAGTGCAGACTTCCTGAATAAAGAAAAACATGCTGTTACCGTGGTTACGGTAGCTAAATAGGCTAGAGATACTGGGTACTGGAATTTACATGGCATCACTCTGTCTGTGGGAAGAAACCATCATAAACAGGTAGGGCCCCTGCCTCAGATGCAAAGTTAGATGAGAACAGAAACTGTTTTTGTGATCTCTTAAGCACCTTAGTGTAGATACATATATCCAGGTGTGCTCACGGAAAGCTAAGTGATACGGTGAAGGTTCATCTTATTTCTTACTCTATATTTTCACTTCAGCTCTTTCCTGGGCAAGTGAGGGTGGACATTTATGCAGTCTCTGAAGAGCAATGAGTCAGTTTTGAACACAGTACTTGAATCAATCAACGTTATATAAGCATAAATAATTTTTGCCAAGAGCTAATGAAATCCAAAGAAATGATGGAAACATTGTGTTTGAGATTTCGTGTTCATCTTCACAATTTGTCCTATTCTAAGAAAATCGATGTGTTAGCTTCTCATCGTCTCTCAAAATTGTTGGATGAACTTTGGAATTTTAATACATATTCTGAATACCGAGTGAAAGAGAGGGCTTTAAAAAATGCTGTGGCTGCAGATAACACAGGTGCTGCAGGTGAGTTAGATCATACAGGTGAGTTAAATCCACTTATTAAGCAACAGGCATGCTTATGCCAATTAAGTTATTCCAAAACAGTGGTTCTCAACCTTGGCTGCACATTAGAATCACCTGGGAATCTTTTTAAAATCCTGATTTCTGGGCCTCATCCTCAGGAAATTCTGTTTCTTTGTTACTAATGTTGTGGCCTCACCCCATAACAAAGAAACAGAATTTCCAGAGGATGAGGCCCAGAAATCAGATTTTAAAAAGATTCCCAGGTGATTGTAATGTGCAGCCAAGGTTGAGAACCACTGTGATAGAAAAAGAGGCAAGTTCCCAAGTTCATAACATGAGACTAACCCAACCTTAATATCATAACTTGGCAAAGATAGAGTGTTAAGGAAAACTGAATTTAACAAGAATAAACATAAATATTTCAAATAAAATACTGACTAACATGTTAAAAGACTAATACACTATAGCCAAATAGGGATTATTCCAAAATTGCAAGAGTAGTTCATCATAAATTACTGTTGATTTTATGAAAGTAACATGTAAGAATATGTAACTAAAATGTAATGATGTGAAGAATTATCTGATATTATCAGTCATAATCATTCTGAATAAGGAGTATAGGAAAAAGAAATGAAGTATAAAATCAGAAAAGTGAAGATAAAATTGCTAGTATTTACAAATAACTTAATGTCTTCTTGGAACACCAAAAGCGGGGAAAAACTAAAATACTATTGTAACTCGTTTTTATTAAGCTAGCACTTAATAAAATTAATAAGTGGAATGCTATCAGTAGGAGCCACCAGTTAGAAAGTATAGTGAATAATGGACAGAAAATCATGATTTCTGTGATAGACCCATGCACAAAACATGCAGAACCCATATTTAAAAACTGTAAAAATTTACTGAGGCACATAAAAGAAAACTTGAATCTATCTATCTATCTATCTATCTATCTATCTATCTATCTATCATCTTAATATGCAAATAGACTAAACGGTGGAACAACTGAATAACCGAACAACCGGTCGCTATGACATGTGCTGACCATCAGGGGGTGCGCATAGAACACGGCGGGTGTTGGCCATGGCGGGATGGTGGAGCAGGTGAGCGGTGGCGCCAGACCAAGGCGGGGCACCGGTTGCTGTCACTGGGGTGAGCCTCTGGTGGTTATTGAAAATTCTTTGCTCCCGAGCAGCGTGGTCCCGCCTGGCACTCGCACCTGCTGCTGGAGCCCAGTGCCAGCCCTGATCACCCCTCAGGGCTTCTCCACCTCCTCCTGCTCCTGAGGGGCGTTTGGGGCGGCAGCCGCCGCTCACACCCGCTGACAGCACAGGCCCCACTCGCACCTGCTGCTGGCGCCAGCCCCAATCACTCCACGCTGTCAGCAGGGGAGCACCAGCTGCGGTAGCCGGGCTGCTGGCCACAGCAGGAGGGGCCAGGCAGGGGCACGGAGGATGGGCTGAGACCCGCCCCTGTGCCCACTGCAGCCTCGCAGCCCACAGTTCCTTTCAAGGTGCACAAACTCATGCACTGGGCCCCTAGTGTTATTATAATAGTAATAACAATACCCCTAGCACATTCCTCAGGGATGACTGACTACTTATAAAGATCTAAGATCTTCTCAGATTAATCTATAAATATAAAGACATTTCAATAAAAGTTTCTATTGAATATTTAAACTCAGTCTTGAGTTTTTAGTTCATCTGAAATAATTGGGGCCTGAGAGAACATTTTGAAAAAGTACAGTAATAAAAAACAGTGCTTGCCATACTAGATATTAAAACATATCTTAAAACTATAATATTTTAAATGGTGTGACACAGTGCCTATTCTTTTCCAAAAAGATAAGAAATTTTGTGGAACAAAATGGAAAGTTCAGAGACAGATCGAAGTATAATATATATTTATATGACATAGTAAAGGTGACTTCTCAGATTAGTAGAGAAAATATCTATTATTTGATAAATGATGCTGGTACAACTAGCTCATCATTTGGAGGAAAAATGAAAGTTCATCCCATGTGATATATCTATCAAAATAAATTCCAGGTGAATTAAAGATTTAAATGTAAAAAGGTCAAATATTTAAATAATCATGAAGTGGGAAAGGACTTTATGAAGATGACTTCCAAAGTGGAATCTATAAGAAATAGCTAGAGAGATTACAGAATCTTCAAACTTTTGAGAAAAAAAAAGCCATAAAAAATTAAAAGAGGCAAAAAATAAGAGAAAACATATTTGCAACATGACGTATCACTCCTTCACTCCAGCCTGCCAATAGCTCTTACAAATCAGTAAGAAAGAGATAGTTGGCTTGAAATACAGGCCAAAGATATAAATGAGAATTGACACAAAATAAATAAACATGAAAAATATGCTATCTCATTAGTAATCAAATAAATGTAACTTAAAAAGAGATGGCGGAGCCCGGCTGGTGTTCAGCGGTTGAGCATCCTCCCATGAACCAGGATGTCACATTTTGATTCCAGGCAGGGCACATGCTCAGTTAAGTTCTCAATCCCCAGTAGGGGGTGTGTGATAGATGATTCTCTCTCATCATTGTTGTTTCTATCTCTCCCTCTCTCTTCCACTCTCTGAAATGAATATAAAGATATTTTTTAAAAAAGAGAGATGGAAACATTCATCTACCAAAACTGGAAAATCTTTTTTATTTAAAAAGAATTTTAAGGACCCAATGTTCACCTTTTACAGGCTGATGGTAGATGGGAATAGTTATAGTTTTACTAGAAGATAATTTGATAATTAAATTAAAATCTTTGAAATATGTATGTGTTTTGCAACTTAATTATGATGGTGTTTACATGACTGATGCATTTGTCAAAATTCAAAGACCTGTACACCTAAAATAGTCAGTTCTCAGTATGTAATTACACATCAATAAATTTAATTTTAAAATGTCTATATCCTTATGCCCAGAAATTTCCATGCTAGTAATTTACCTTTTAAAGAAAATGGCTAATTTTGCAGTGATTTGTCTACAAGAATGTTAATTAGAACACTGCTCAAAATTGTGGAAACTTGAAAGCAATCTAAATATCCTATAATAGGGGATCAATAAAAAGGGTTTATGAAAGTACCTACAACTGCATGCTTTGTAACTACTAGGATGATACTGTAGAAGAATATTTAATAAGCATGTAAAAATGTTTGAGTTAAAAAGTAGGTATGAAACAACATGTAGTATAATCCCATTTTGGTAACTGTACACGAAGTACTTTTTAAAAAGAATGTAAGTTTACAGGCCAAAATGTTAATAGTGATTTGTCTTTTTGCACTTAGATGATCTTTTCTGTGTCATTTGCATGTGGAAGGGTAATTGCAGCGACAATGGTGGTCATGCCTGTGTCACTCTGTGTGTGCATCACCCTCTCCAAAGACAAAAACTCCTGGAGTATTCTGGCACTGTTTAGGTAGGCGATATCTATAATAATAAAAGTGTAATATGCTAATTAGACCGAACAGCCAAACGACCTTCTGGACGTCATTCTGGATGTCCTTCTGGAAGACCTTCCAGATGAAGCCGTGGCAGCGGGGGCCGAGGCAGAGGTGGTTAGGGGCGATCAGACAGGCAGGTGAGCAGTTAGGGGTGATCAGGCAGGCAGGCGAGCAGTTAGGAACCAGTGGTCCCGGATTGCGAGAGGGATGTCCGACTGGTTTAGGCCCATCCCACAGGAATCCCTGCGGGATCGGGCCTAAACCGGCAGTCAGACATCCCCCGAGGGGTCCCAGATTGCCAGAGGGTGTAGGCTGGGCTGCGGGACTCCGCCCCATGCACAAATTTCATGCACCAGGCCTCAAGTGTATATATATATATTGCACAGAGATGACACATACCAAGGGTTCAATCAATGTTAGTCCTCTCTCTTCCCTAAATGGAGGGTAGATGGGCTCCGTGGGAGACTCCACAGACAGAAGACAGTAGTTCCTGTCACAGCTCAGACATCACTTGTCCCCTGGAAGTGGCCCCAGTGCATTAGGCTCTTGCATTCTTTTTTTTTTTTAATATATTTTATTGATTTTTTACAGAGAGGAAGGGAGAGGGATAGAGAGTTAGAAACATCGATGAGAGAGAAACATCGACCAGCTGCCTCCTGCACACCTCCCACTGGGGATGTGCCTGCAACCAAGGTACACGCCCTTGACCGGAACCGAACCCGGGACCCTTCAGTCCGTAGGCCCACGCTCTATCCACTGAGCCAAACCGGTTTGGCGGCTCTTGCATTCTTAATGATTCCACTGACAGGCAGGAAATCATCTTGTCTTGCTCATTAATAGGACCCACTGAGGTCTCTCTCCTTTTTTGCTAATTACACAGGTTAAGGGCAGACTTCACCCCAGGCAACATACTCATTAATTTGCCAATTCGCA